GGGGCAGGTCAGAGGACTGTGCAGGGGTGGGAGTGGGGGGATGGGGCGGGGGCAGGTCAGGGGACTGGGGCAGGCAGCACACGCACCCGGTAACTTGCAGGAGGCCGGGCAGCACTGTACAGATAGGAGGGCTGCAGGACGAGAGCGAAAGGCAGGTTTTAAAAGCGTTGGAAAACAGCAACAAATAACAGTGACGAGATAATCATGATGCTTTCAGTAATCACGACAGCTGAACTGTCGTACAACAGAAGGAAAGAAAAAAGTCGACTTAGGGTTTTCAGTAAATCACAGAGACGCAAATCCGACTTTGAAATAGTAAACGTCCCCAGGATCTCTGAAATAGGACTATTTTCTAGTCATTTCTTTTCAGGCATTCCTGGAGGAAAGAGTCAGGGAGTGAGACCGAATGGTGACAAGGTGAAAATGTCACCAGCAGCAACCAAACCCCACAACTCAAAATCCCAGGTTAATAAAGCACTCCAGGGTGTTAATACATCAATTTCCACACAGGAAGAGAGCTGCGGACACAGTGCTTCTATTTCCATCAAATGATCCCAGTCCCGGTCTCCAGGAGCCAACAGGAGCTGTTAAGACTGCTCCAGCCGGCCAGGGCTGGCACGTCCCTGTAACGGGGAGCCCACACCCACACCCATATCCCGACCCGGGCTGAGCCGCGCCTGTGCGGGCATGTGCCCCAGTGAAAGGGCAGCTCCTGGCTCGGCCAGACCCTGAGTTCCAGAATAGGATCATGACTCATTTACAAGCAGAGGCCACGTAAGCCCGCGGTGCAGGGCCACCAAGAGGGTCAGGGAATGTGCGGGGCCCAGGATGAATCACTCAGCAAGGCAGGGGAGACAGCAATGCAAGGAGATATGGTTCAACCTCTGCGGGAGGAGGAGTGCGGGGCTCTGACGCGGAGTTCCTCGTATAGACACCGGGCTCCTGTACCTACAGCCCAGGGCCTGACCCGCCCACCCGCCTTGTGAAAACAAAACAAAACAAAACAAACCAGGAAACAGAGGGGAGACTGAGCCAAAGAAACAGGGCTGTTCTCCCACTTCTCAAAGATGGAGGAACCAGATTAGGCACAAAGGCTTCCAAATTGCTTCCTGGACACATTTACAGGAGAAAAATATTTTTAAAGAAACACACGAAACCCCAAATGGGGAACAATTGCTGGAAAAGGAGGAGAGAGCCCCAAGAGACCAATTCTTTGGGCCTGAGCTTGGAAATATACACTTAATAGAGGCTCCTTTTTCTATATAAGGTCCTAAATGATTTTGATAATGTCTTACAACGTTGACGAAAGTCTTAGCAAGTTAGGCAAGCCAAATAAAACACCTGCTAAACTCTGCTCTCTGGACTTGACATGGAAGAGGCTGAAGTATCTTCGTACATTTGATCGGAGAGTGAAGTGACCCCACAGAAGGAAAGAGGAAGGGAAGCGGGTGACAAGGAGGAGGACAGACCTGGTTTCCGCTCTGGGTAGACAGGAGAGCAAGGCCGCCCCTGGGAAGCCCGAGGTCCGAGCAGGAGAGTCCCTGTAGTCAGAGAAAATGGGAAGGAGGGGAGAAGGGCTCACAGCTTCATTTCACCTCAAAGGTACAATGGTATGGTGCGTCCACACACAACTACCTTCTACGACAAAATCGGTTAAGGGCATGCACTTACGGAGGAGGGAGAAAGGAGGACGATCAGAAGGAAATAAAGACGATCCGGTTAATTGACAAAACTAGGACACGGGACCAAACCAGGAGTTCTGAATCAACAAACAGGCAAAACTACATTTCATTACGTTTTAACCAACAGCCAGACCATAGGGGTTTGAGAGGTCTTTGTAATTTGAGCTCTGAGTTTTAAAGTTTGGATAGAAAAATTCAAAACTAAGGATTGGCAGAGATATCAGCCTTTATGTAATAAGGTATTTCACTGGACAGGACCTCTGACCTGGCCTTCTTAGTTAGCTATTCACACAATGCGTATGTGTTCAGGATTCACAGAAGACGGGGTCTAATTCAGGGGTCTAATTCTGAGACCAACAGTCTATGCAACGTCTCTGGGGAATGCCACCATACAAATTGTCTCCCCAAATAAAATGCTTTATCCAAATGGAAGGCTCCCTGAAGAAGAAGCCAGCAGCTCCAGATTGTCATCTTGGCAGTATTCTACTAATTGTACAAGCACGGGACAGTCCTTGAAGATGAAGTGGCTCCATTCAAGTAGCCTGATGGCACCTGAAGATATCCTGCCATCCCCTCAAGGTCCCATAACTTGTGCCTAACATTCCTATGTCTTGCATAAGCTATCCCACCTGACCTGAGGGGCAGGCAAGTGGAACTCTGGAGGTGGGGTGGGGGGACGGAACAGGGGGGAAATGTTCTAACGTCTGACACAAATATTGAGAGAATGGTTGAGAGGACACCGTGTGTAGTGGCCATCTTGTCAACCCCTCTGTGGGACGTGGAAAGCGCCAAGGGGGAGAAAGCGTCCACAGCTGTGGCCGCCATGCCTGGGTGTAGGTCTGACAAATCTGGAAGACTGGAGAAGTCATTTAGAGGAGTCTTCAACACTCCGTGCTACCTTAATATCTTTCTGTTTTAGATTTAACTAAAATGAAACATGCCCATGTGTTTTGCAGGAATAGATATAATACCTACAGAACACGGTCATTACCAGAAGATTCTGCCGGTCGGTGAGTACAGTAAGACCTCGGGCAGAACAAGGGTGGGACATGTGGCCTCAGCAAAGTTCTGATGTTTAACGTTTTGAATGGATCGGCTCTAATTTTGACTCCAATGTGGGTTATTGCTCTTAAACGAATCTAAGTGAGTCGGATACGTGAACTGGGGTGAATAATTCACACCCACATATTAGCTACCTAACACCATCGTCTACTTCAGAGCAAGTTTCTCAGCTCAGAAAGTGACGAGGAAGTCAAGTTTTCTGGACGACAAGGTGCTCTTTGGAAACAGCAAAATCTCCCACTGAAATTCACACAATACACAAAAAATTCAAGATGGCGAAACCCACCAATACTTTGGTGATTACAGCTGATCTTGTTTTCAGTCAAAATTCACCTACTGGGGGAAGAAAGGGTGGAGTTCTTATTAACATATGGGGCTGAAAGGCAACAGTGGAGTTTGGAAAGTGGACAAGCAAGCTGATGGGGGAATGGAAAGGCCAGCCGTGTAAGGAGCCCCCTGCAGCAGGAACGAAAGGGGGCAGGGGATGAGGCAGGACAGGGGAGAAGGACCAGGAACCACCGGCTTTAGCTCCTTAGTTTCTATTTATTTTTCCCCCACGTACTCTTCGAGGTTCAGTTCACATCCTTTGTTGCGACACCCCTTTCTCCCTATTGTCCCATTTATGCTGCACCAGCGTTATCTGGTAGCTGGGTCTGCCTTCTGTTCTAGAAGTAAATGCTTCCACAGTACCGACCTATCTCACGCGTTACCTGTGTGATCTTTCTGTGATAGTCCTGCCCACACTAGGTTCCCTAGTGTTTGCTAAGTGAGCATGAGCCTGATGGAAAACAAACCTTCTCTATGAGAGCTCTCACATAATTGAGAAATCTTTGCGCCCATCGAGATCGATGCATGTCCTTAAAGTGTGGGGAGGAACTCTACTGTGTAGACATCTGAATTTGGATTTGATGTGGTTTTCATCCCTAGTCCAGTCTGTCCCTGAGAAACTGCCACAAAGTTTGCATGCACCCTACAAAGTAATTGTTTTCAGGAACTCTCAAGGAAAGAATGATAAGGTTTTCTTCCCCCCCCCCCCCTTTGATTACTTCTGACTACAAACACCCACATGAATACTTTCTTTCCTTGTACCCAGCTTGAATGCAAATAGGGATTCGAATGCAAGACAGTGGGCTAAGCCTGCATAAAATACATCATGTTAATTACTGCCCCCAACCTGACCTCAGCATCCACCCAAATGAAAATTAGTAAAACAGGCGTGAAAAATGAAAAGAGAACTGAATTCACACACAACACTGCATGCTACAAAACCTGTGGTTTTTGAATAGAGGATGTGAAAAGATTTAAATGAAAACCAACCAACGTCTCCTCTCTGGCTGATGACAAAGTAGAGAATCTGCCCTCACCGCTGCTGCTGTAGCTGGAATTCTGAGAACCAAAGAAGACATTGTAAGTGGTGAGCACTTCCTCACTGTCCCCCAAAGCACCACCTGTCCTGGCCAAAAGGCAAATATAAAATCACCAATGTATAAAATCACACCGGTATCGGTGCCCCAGAAATACCAATGTAGCTTAAGAATCAAGACACTCGGCTACGGCAGAACTTCTTAACAACCAGAGGTCCTGAGCTGTATTTTGTATTTTGGTGTTTCCATCCCCGCGATGTCTTATGGTTTAACTCGTACTGGTTTTCACTATATTTCAGCTCTCAAATTACTCGTAATTACTTACTCAACTCAATCTCCTGATGAGCCGCCTGTAACTTCCCACCGGGGACTTTTCCTTATTACGTACTTCGTTAGGTAACAAAGATGATGTCTGGTGCAATATTTTCCATCTTTCCTGGGCCTGACACAGCTGATGGCTCAGCTCAGCCGAATTTGCAGGGAGGTGGCTGCAGCCTGAGCGAGCTGCACCCGTGTAGCTGAGAGCCACCCCCCAGACCCGCAGCGGTCTCCGGGGACTTGGTGTATAGCTTATAAAAGGTCAGAGTCTGCACGGGGAGGCAGTACGGATGCATGTTACACACAAGGCGTAAGATGCTCATCGATACGGTCAAGGTCGTTCTCCTACGGAGACTTTCAATTCCTTCACGGAAGAAAGAGGTGCTTCCAAACCCTTGTGGTCAGTCTGGCTATTTCACTCCTCCCCACGGACATGTGCTGCTGGCATCTGTGAAATGCCTCCCTCCCTTCCAGTCTTTTCTCCAAGCCCATCCTCGCTCTGGGACCTTCCCACAGAACTCGCGGCGTGCACGTACGCTATTTGGTTCTTCAACTGTTCTGTTTCCTCACTGTTTATGAAATCAATTTTATGTCCCGTTTTACTTTGCGGTGAGCAATTTTACCAACAAGCTCTTTTGCATTTGATTTCTAGAGGCATTGCTCAAATCCTAAACCAAATCAAAAGGTTTAACTTTTTTAACTTACTGTTTAGCTTACCGTTAAAACTTACTGTTTCAACGTAAACGTCAAAGATTAAGAAATATGGGCATACGGATGGCACATAGCTCACTGATGCTACCTCGTACTGACCGGGGTGCTCTAGAGAAGAAGGTGGCATTGGGTAGAAAGAGTGGATGATGGAACTTCTCAAGGAACTGCCAGCTCTAAGCGATGATTCTTTAGGATCAATTATGGGGAAAACTATGCCTCTGGGGGAAGAAGTTGCTCATTAGCCAACATAACCCCAATGAGCAGTCTGGGGCCAGCAGAGTCCTGCAGCCTGTCCTGTAAAGCCAGCTCCAATCAGTGCACAGGAGACACAGCTGTCCGCACCACACGAGGACAGAATGGTGTGCTGCCTGCTTCCATCCCCAGACAGCGGCCTTACCTTAAAGGAAAACATAACAGAACTGGAGGAAATCCAAAGGCCGTCAACATAAAAACATAAATAGGAAGACATGGCCTTTAAAAGGGGAGGGTTTTTTTAGTCCGGAATGAGGAGAGTTTAGATGAAACGGAGGTGTATGCAATGCTTAAGAGGACGAGAGGCTAAACTCATCAGCCAGTTTCAGAAAGCTACAGTGGGACTGGGTAACCCCTCTGACACCTGAAAACAGAATTCAAGTGCAGATAGGATATATCTTAATATAAGTAAGATAAATGAGAAGAAACACTAATTATACAACTAGTAACATTTACTATAAGATGAAAAGTAAAGCAAATGTAGGACTAGGAAGACTTTAGATAATTTAATGAACAATGGGTCTGCAAGTGGGTCATGAAACTTCATTAGAATATATGCAGTTTGTGACCTTGTGAAGTCCCCTGTGACCTCCCTGCTAGATAGATCCAAAGGCCTCCCTACTTGTCTCCTGCTGTCGGTCCCTCTGCTCCTTTCTCCCACCACGGAACGTTCATGACCCTGCCCCTTCTGCAGTCTCTGACCCCTGCCCTGGGAGCATTCCATGGTCAGGGTCCAGGGGAACACGGACTCGAACATACGTGTCCTTAAAATGACCAGGGACAGGTGGGCACGGAGGGAGAGAATGTCAGATGGGAGGTATACTTGAAAGCTGAATATACTTACTATACGCATTCTGCATGTACACCCAGGGCAACAAAATAATGACAGAGTGAGTACTTAATCCTACATATTTCTAAGCTGAAGAGATTCTTTTTAACATCTGCCTCTTGCATTGAGACTTAGAATGTCCGGAAGACCAACTTTCTAAGAATGTTTCCCAGTTGAAAACCATTAGCTTCCACTCATTCACGTGCTTGGCCAGGGGTGGGGGTGGGGAGAGACCCTTTATCACACGGAAAAAAACCAAAACCACAAGGAAGCTAAATGTAGCAATATTTTCTTTAAACCGCTCTAGCAACCTGGTTGAGTTTTGTGTCATGCGCACTTACTATACTAACCCTGCCAGATCTTCTATTCAGGGACTGGGATCCATATGATTCTCCATCATAACCATTTGTCTGTTTCAATGAAGAAAAGAAGAAAACTGACATCAGTATACAAATGAAGACGCAGGAACAAATCAGCAGGGAAGCATTAGCTGGGCTGTAAACTGGGCTTCCTTCGTGGAGCGAACGAATGACAGGCCCAGGACAACACAAACCTTAGCATGCCCCTAGATGCTTCCGTGCTTCTGATCTGCTCTGCCGCAACTCGGGGGGGATCGGACACTCAAGCTAATCACACCCGCCCAAGTCACTGTTACTTGTCAGTACAGGTCACTGTAGGATTGCAGGCAATGCCCAGCCCTTCCCGCGGGGTGAAGCACGTGGCCACGGGTCCACGGCTGCTTTTCCTCGGCAGTTTTCCTGTTTCCCGTTTTACGGGGGTGCCGCGGGAGTCCTAGTTCTCCAGCGGCCTGAATGCCACGGGCAAGTGGGGTAATGCCTTGGCCCACGTCAACTAGTTTTCAGTTGTTGGTTCACAGGGTTAAGTCCTTGAAAGTCATGGCCCGGTATGAAGTTGCATTCAGAAGATTCAGAAATAGCTTCTGCTCAATCTATAATTCGGTGCAAAAGTTCATCATGGAAAAAATGTTTCTCATGGGGGTAGATTCTCTGATTAGCTTCTCTTTCTTTTTTTAATGTGTGTTTATTTTTGACAGAGAGCGCGGGAGCAGGGGAGGGACAGAGAGAGAGGGAGACACAGAATCTGAAACAGGCTCCAGGCTCTGAGCTGTCAGCACAGAGACGGACATGGGGCTTGAACCCATGAACTGCAAGATTATGACCTGAGTCGAAGTTGGATGCTCGACCAACTGAGCCACCCAGGCGCCCCTCTGTCTTAGCTTTTCATTCATCCTGTCTTCCAACTTTATTTTTCAGAGTGAAATCTGAGGATGCATTTCATGATTTCCTAATTTGTCCTCTAGAAAAGAGAATGATTGGGACCCCACCTCCCTTCTCTCCTCACCTCTGCACCCACGTTCCACCAGCCAAAGCCTGGCCTATCTCAAATTGCTCTCATTCTATAAGGATGTTTCTTCTGATTTAAGACAAGAGCTGTTACATGTCAGAGGCCTGACCAGCTCTCGAGATAGAAAAAGGAAAACAGTGGGGTGGGGGGTGGGGCTCCTTCGGTTGAGCGGCTCAGGTCACGATCTCATGGTTCATGGGATCAAGCCCCGTGCTGGGCTTTGTGCTGACAGCTCAGAGCCTGCTTGGGATTCTCTGTCTCCTTCTCTCTCTGACTTTCCCCTGCTGGTGTGTTCTCGCCCTCAAAAATAAATAAACGTTAAAAAAAATTAAAAACAAGGAAAAAGGAAAGCAGTCCACAGAACTGGTAAAACCAGAAGGAGACGCCAGGGGGTTGTGGAGGTGAGTCCGAATTCCAAATCAATGCTCTATCTTGTGACCTTAAGCTGGTTGCTTAATCCACTGACACCTCCACTTCCTCAGCTGTTAAAAATGTGCCTAGAAATACATACTTTAAATTTTTTTTTTTTCAACGTTTATTTATTTTTGGGACAGAGCATGAACGGGGGAGGGGCAGAGAGAGAGGGAGACACAGAATCGGAAACAGCCATCAGCCCAGAGCCCGACGCGGGGCTCGAACTCACGCGAGATCACGCGAGACCTCGCGAGATCGTGACCTGGCTGAAGTCGGACGCTTAACCGACTGCGCCACGCAGGCGCCCCGAAATACATACTTTATAAGGCCACTGGGAGGGTTAGACCGGATTAAAATGAGTATCCCGAGTGCCTGAACTGTGTGCCGACAGGATGGCTGAGTGAGCGCCTGTGGGAGGGACCCAGCACCCACGAGGAACGGGAGCCTTGCCCACGGGGTCGGGCATCAGGAGACCGGTTGGCAGGTATTCCGCAGCTAGACATTAATGAAGAATAAAGAAAGGGGTTTCCAGACAGGTTACAAACCCAGGTTCATGCCATCCTGACTATAAAACTATGTATTTACTTTTGTTACAACTCAATACCAAGTCAACTTGAAGTTTCTAAATGAAACAAAAGGGTACATAGACATCCCTCAACTTTAAATTTCAAACCTTGGGGCACCTGAGGGGCTCAGTCAGTTAAGTGTCTGATTTCGGCTCAGGTCATGATCTCACGGTTCGTGGGTTCGAGCCCCGCGTCGGGCTCTGTGCTGACAGCTCGGAGCCTGGAGCCTGTTTCGGATTCTGTGTCTCCCTCTCTCTCTGCCCCTCCCTCCCTTGCCTCTCTCTCTCTCTCTCTCTCTCAAAAATAAATATAAAAAAAATAAATTAGAAAACTCTGTGAATAACATTAAAACATTTCTGGAATAAATTTGATAGGCAGGAATTTTACTCAATCTAATCTAATCTAATCCCTTTCCCCACTGACAGGATTTTCTGATATGGAAACATGTATCAAGGACTTGGATACCTTTCCTATCTGCTTAGAAACTCATTCCTGGGAAAAATTAATGTAACAAGAAAGGCTAACATCAATCAATTTTTCATGCCTTTTCCTTTACTAACAAATAAAGTAAAATATATTACATATATGAACCCTCTGGCTTTCCACTGCTGCTTGTGAAATACATCCTTCCCCATGCGAGTTCTTCCTTCTGGCCTTCTCATTTTCCAGCACGGTGTGCAGCCCAGAGCAGAGGGCTGTGAAGGGCGGGAGGGCAAAGGCGCCCCTCATTGTCACCATTTCTGTCCTAGCTTTCCACGGCCGTGCAGGAAAAACTCCCCCTTCAACAGCTCTGTGGAACACCCACCCTTTCTGTTGTAGTGGAATTCTGCCGTGGGGAGTATATTCCTAACGAATTCTCCAATCCACAGAGCTCATGGACACCTCTATGGCGAAAAGTACTTTGACCTCTTTAAAAAAAAATTTTTTTTAATGTTCCTTTTATTTTTGAGAGAGAGAGAAAGAGAGAGAGACAGAGCGTGAGCAGGGGAGGGGCAGAGAGAGAGGGAGACACAGAATCCAAAGCAGGCTCCTGGCTCTGAGCTGTCAGCACGGAGCCCGACGCGGGGCTCGAACTCAGAACAGTGAGATCACGACCTGAGTGGAAATCAGATGCTTAACTGACTGAGCCACCCAGGCGCCCTTAGACTACTCCGACTTCTTAAAGAACACACCAACCTTTTCCTCTTGGCTAGTTTTTATGGTGGGGCTGTTTTTATGTAGCAGAACAGGCTAAGGAGAGTTGAAAATTAACCTAACGCATTGGAATAAAAAGTCCATAGACGGGACACCAGCTTCATTTTAAGTCAGGGCTCTGTTTAACTTTCTTTGCTCTACAGGGCGAATTTTCTTTTCTTTTCTATTTTACTTTTTTTAAATGTTTTTTTTGAGAGAGAAAAGAGAGACAAAGCGTGAGTGTTGGAAGGGCAGCGGGAGGAAGACAGAGACTCGAAGCAGGCTCCAGGCTCCGAGGTGGCAGCGTAGAGCCTGACGCAGGGCTTGAACCCGTGAACCGTGAGATCATGACCTGAGCCAAAGTTGTTGGACGTGTAACTGATTGAGCCACCCAGGCACCCCTACGGGGCGATTTTTCAACACCCTTACTGTGCTGACCACCTGCATCACGGTTACCTGGTGTGCATCTTAGGACCACGGCACCCTGACCTAGGCAGCCATCAGAGCACCTAGAGCTGGGGGCTGGGGAAGTGTGTTGTGATTAAGCTTCCCAGGTGGATCTCACACACAGCAAACACACACGAGCACTGCTATCAGAGAGAACAAAACACAGAAGACATCCACAAATCAGCGTTTTCTAAAAGAGTGTAAGATCCAAGCATAAACGTCCCGTCGCAGCCAATTATTCCAAGGGAAACGTGTGATTAGTCCCAATGCCAACAGCCACCGTGCCGGGCTATCAAAGCAGCGCCCCTCACGTGCAAGCATGCGGAGGGCAACGGCTGTCTTTTCTGATTAATGGTGTTAGATTACTTTTACAGTGAGTCGACAGACAGATCACGTCCAAGGGTATGGGAGATGGGAAGCAAAAGAAGGAAGGCAAAATCAAAACCCTGAAGTGCAGTGTTTGAGGCACTCAACTGAGTTTGAAAACAGAATGAAAACTGAAAAATAAAAATGAAATCGGAAACGTGTTTCCGTGTCTTGCTAACACACGTAGCCATTCGTTCCCCCAGGGACTGGCCCTGACAAGCAATTTGCTTTGGGTTTAGAATGAGAAGGCTAAACATCTAGAAATCTGCTGCTGATGTGCTGAATGGTGGAGAATGGAAGAACTACGAGGACTGGTGAGGACTGAGGTCACTGTTAAGTGCTGTGGGACGCTGTGTGAAAGCCCTTCCCGAATCTAATCACGTGCCCCTGGGCTTCCCACGCTCCGTGGCGGATCCGTCCCTGTCCCTCGACGGCTCCGATCCATAACCAGCAGCCCAGCAGGAGGCTCGGGGCTCACCAGTGCTACGCAACTCTATGGCACTATTAAATTATCGTCTTAGAGGCAAAAACACGTTTTAAAATCAGTGATTTGGTAAGTAACTTTGAAATGCGGTAGAATGAATGAAGCCCAAAATGCTCTAGAAAAAGTCCTAAAAATGAAGCCGTGTCTAAATTGCTACAATCCCTTCAGTACGGAAATCACTTTATTGGTAATTTCTGGCGAGATGAAACTTCTCTCCTTTTTAACTTGTCTTTTAAATTTACAGGTTTTCAGAAAGCATGAGGTGCAGACAGACGGACGTAGGAAGGGAAAGTCCAAATTTAAATCGAAAGCCTTCGTTTTTGTTACTGGAACAGCACTTTTTGGCAAAGGGGCGGGATCGCACATTTCATTTCAACGGACAGATCAGAAAACGACGGAATTTTCATTAGATAAAGTAACTTTGAACTTAACCTTTGAAAAGCAACGCAGAGGCTTTGGGAATTCCTGATCTGATCTGAGTTCCTTGAAAGCAAGGTGCCCTCCCCCCGACTGGTGCCCACAGCTGTCAGCACACAGCTGGTGCTCACAGACCGCGTGGTGAGTGAGTGTGTTCACGCACGGGCCGACCCTGAGGACCAGGGACACACCCAGGGGGCTCTGGACGCAGAGCGCTCACTCTGGTGGGGACATCTGCCCTCCGGCCCATCGTCCCCCGAGGGAGTCTGGGGGACGGCACGTGTGTCTTTCTGGACAAAGACATACTTGGCTTTGTGGACAAACACAGCCACGAGATTAGTGGAAGCACCATAGGTTATTACGTATCACACAGTAAGTACTATTAGGATCACGCCCCAGCATCTATCCAACCGTCTCACCCAGGCGTAAGGACCCCCATAATCCAGGTCAGGCTGTGGCTGTCGGCGTGCGGATGGAGAGGAAAACAACAGAAAACAGAGTTGTCAAAGATCAGTGAGAATAAGTTAACTCATACATCACAAAACATAAAATACAAGCCAGGTGATCTTGAAATCTTCACAAAATTACATTTTTTTTCAGGACTTCCAGGATCTTGTGTATTTACAAAAGGAACAGCATCAGAATGAAGCCATCATAAAATGCAGTAACATTAAATCAAACTTCCATGGCAAGGGTTGCTGTAATTCACGAAACCGGACTGAGCAGTCTGACCCCCTCCTCTTATATAAGACCTACTCTATTTCTATTAGACAAAAGGGGAACACCTGTATCACTCTCAATTTTTAACTAAGAAAAATGAAAGTCTTAAGATGTCCAAAAATCTAGGTTTGCTGAGAAGAAGGTCCATGCAGACCCCAGGGAGATAACATTTTCCTGTTTGGGGTTTACGTCGCTGTCAGTGATGAATGAAGAAGGCCTACATTTTGAGAAAGTCAAGAAATAAGAGACCTGACCTCTGAACTTTGCAAATGGAGGATTTCAGAATATTAAGACGCATAAACACAGCATGAACTGACCCTGTACAGACAGGGAACGAGATGAGCTTTCTCCCAGCAGCACAGTTGGCCCAACAACCAAAGGCGGTCAGAGCGTCCAGGCCCCAGAGGACCTGGGGACGGATGCTGTCACCTCCTCGCTGCTCTGCGCTTGTCCTGAACCCGTCAGAGTTACGAGGTCTGCCTCTTATCTCCAGGATCCAAGTGCTCAAGTCTGCGGTTTTTAAAGAGTGTTATTTCACGAGATCAGACATATCACGGGGAAGAGCGGTGTAGGAAACCACCCGGCTGAACATGAAAATCCCAACCACGGTTGATTTTCCACTTTCTCCCCCTCTCTTATTCAACGTCCAGGTTGTGGGCCTCTTCTCTAAAATGTGACACCTTAACCAAAAATGCTTGAAATGTTGGCAAAGAACGGCGTCTAGCAAAGAAACGTAACCCATGTAGGTTAAACTCATTGAGAATGAAATGAAGGCTATAAACACCCTAACACTCACTAAGACTGCAATCGTTTTAAACTCCCTGGGGTCAGGAGACTTTCTGAGAACGTTAAGAAAGCGACAAATTCTCTTCCCAGAAAAATGCAAGTGTACCCCAAATCCCGAATACCAAGTGTGGAGGATCAAAGATCTGAAAACGATACGGTGATAGATTTGGATTCTGTGGCCGATTTCTCTGCTGTTCTCTCTTGGGACTGCATTAATCAGGTTTTGCTCTCCCCATTTCCACCAAAAGTCTCCTTGTCAAGGTCACCGACGTCCTCCACGATGCTAAGGCCCTTGGTCCCATGCTTACTGGACCCCTCGCTTCCTCCTGGAAACAGTATCTTCTCTCGGTTTCAAGGGCCGCCCTTCTCCTGGGCCTGCTTACTCCTGTGTCTCCTCCACAGATTCTGCAAACTGAGTTTTGCATTTATGATGTTTTGGTTACATAAAAGTTACTTCCTCTGGCCTCTTGTCAGAGAGAAGGTCTATGAGGAAGTGACGACTGTATGGCTGAGGGGAAAGTTTCAGAGTGCGGAACTCTTGAATAGACCTCACATCTGAACCATTACTTTCTGGCAAAATCAATGCAGATCTGTTTTTGGCACCTGCCAGGGCAGTGACAGTGACTTGCCTGACACCCCAACAGTGTGTTATCTTTATAGCTGACTGTTGTGAACAGCCGACGAAATGCATGCTCAGCGGCCACACAGGAAGTCTAGGGCTGGTGGGGCGCCCGGGTGGCTCAGTCCTTGACCATCCAAGTCTTGATTTCAGCTCGGAACAAGGTCTCATGGGTTTGTCAGTTGGAGCCCCATCAGGCTCTATGCTGGCAGCACGGACCCTGCCTGGGATTCTGTCTCTCTCCCTCTCTCTCTGCCCCTCCCCTTCTTGAGCTCTCTCTCTCTTAAAATAAATAAACGTAAAAAAAAAAAAAAAAAAAGTCTAGGAGTGATACTATAATTTAATTGTTAAGGTGGAAACAAGCTTTCTACTCCATACCGTCCCCAAGTGAAATGGAGCGGCTGCATTGAGGCCTCCTTCTTACCAGTAGTGACAGCGACGGCAACCCTGTGGTGACACCACGGACATGTTCGCAGTCATTTACCGACTTAAGGCACTAAGCAAAACGCAGTTTCTCTGCTTCGCTTCCCAAAGCACGCAATGTTCTCCAGTCTAATTATGAAGGTTTTGGGAATGTTTACGGAAAACCACGTATTCGTCTCTGCCAGCCATCAAGCTGTCAGTGACGAAGACGTTCCATCGCCGCTGACCGAAGGAAAGACTTGGGCGAGCAGACCCGGGTCTCAGGGCTCTGACCTGCTCTGATTTCCCACCAGGTCACCTGCTGCAGTTTTCAAGGAGCTACACAAGAACAGCACTGAGTTAACAGGTGCTTGAGCTGAGATGCACATTTGCGGGGAGCGTGTAGGCAAGCAGGATCCCTTCAGGGCACCAGCGTCGCACAGAGACGACCTAATCGGGGCGTGGCAGTGCTGTGATGCGGAGGGATATAAAAACGTTACGATTTGCCCACGCGGGAGAAAGACACGACAAAAGTGCCCGCGTTTACCAATACTCTTTCCGCACCACAAGGAAACGTGCCACCAGTGATGAGACTTCAAACGAGCGGCTTCCCAGATACTGGTAACAAGACTGCGGGGTAATGGACGCGAAATCTGACTGTGGGGTAATGGACACGAAATCTGACTGCGGGGACACAGGCGGCAAAGGATGTCCACACAGACTGTACCGTGCAAACCCAGTCATCCTGGTTACTGACCCTCAGACTTCCACGACTACCCACTGACATGCGCTCGTCTTCGTCGGAAGCCTAGTGAAAGAAAGGATGAAAACAGCCATGAAGCATAATATAACACGCATAAAAGAAGCCGACGTCCAGCTTTCAGAGGGGACGTGGCCCACGACACCATAGCAGGGCCCCAAGGTAGGTGACTCTGGAAATCTCAGTACACCTGAGCCTGTGTCTTCTCCAAACGGCCCCGTCTGTGCGCCTCTGTTTACAGAGGGCTGTTTCTGGATAATACCGCTTTACGTTAATGTCATTTCTTTGCTGGCAACCTATAAACACGTAGCCTCAGTGCGTATCACTCTCAAAATTATTCATGGGTATTCGATAGCAGAAAGAGCATTAAAACTGTCACGAACATATTAATATTCAGAAGTTTTCAATGCTCCCTTCACCAAGTTAGGTCAACAGGCTAAAAGCCTTTGTTTAGGTAATAGTATCAGTATTAATTTCTTTTATAAGCATCACTAAAATACACACACGCATGCATACAATTCATGTATTTCAGCCACTACAACTACAAATTAGACTTCAATCAAAATGAACACAGTACTAACCGATGTGTTTCTTCTGGATCTACGTGAATAACGCTCACTGTCTTCCTACCAAAGCAAGGGAAGAAACAGCATTAAAGGTCAGGTACAGACAGAGCAGAAGCCTCAGTCCGCTGGTATTTCTGATATAAATGTCACATAAATATTTTCTTTGCTGTCATCAAAGGCTTCAATTAAACCACTGGGGAAGGATGTTCTCTTTGGCCGGGGGTACATAAACACACAAGTAATCTGCATCTTTCATTTTGGCTTTAAAAGCATGTGTTGGGAGAGAGGTTGGGCCTTAGTTTGTCCCTAACCTCTACTGTGTGGTCCATTTAAACTAGTCTACTTTTCCCCCTACATTCAGAACCTTATTCTCTTTCCTTTGGGAATCAGAAGATAAATCATTTCTGGAAAAGATCCAATAAGGGTGTCACCCCATCTACTGTATTTTGTGCATTCTGAGATAGGCACGGTTTTCCACATGTTTGCACATCTCTGCAGTTGGGCGTATATCTTATAAGCAAGGTTTCCCACATTATAATTAGCAGCACTTTTTTCTTTCTCGATGGCATACAAAGCAATGATACATCTTTTAATTGGGTCTTAAGATTTGACAAAAATACATCTGCCTATGCCACAGAAGCCTAAAATGATGGTTTACACATAATGAAGGTTGAAGTGAGTAATTTTTTCGGTAGAGGACATATATACTCTTTATATTTCAAGAACTCTTCTCTTTCACGTTCTATACAGGTGTCTAAGAGAGGAGATAATTTTACATTTCTTTGCATTATTTATCCATAAGGGACAATGACTGTGGCATTTCCACTGGCCAGGCTCTTAATTGCTAAAAGTATGTGATGCTGTCCATGAGGCCATTCAGTAAGGTGTCAAGGACAAGAGGCAGGGGCGGGAACTGAGGTGGATGAATTGAGAGAAGGAGTGGGTCCACGTTCTCCTGGGGCAAGGGGAATGCTCCCCCTTCTAGAGCGTCATGCCTGAGGCACCATCTCCTTCTGAGTGTGCCTGGAGGAGAGTCCTCTGCCCAAGATGATGGGAGGCAGTGGCCCCAGAGACCCCCACAAGCCACAGCTAGCATGCTGACTCCAAGAGTCAGCGGCTACTGAACAGACCAGACAAAAATGCCCGGCCAGGACCATTTCTGACCCAGCTTCACAGGGATGTAAACAATCAGGCCAGACCAGAAGTCCCGGGGAGAAAATCTCTCAGGATTCAATTATGGCAGGGCAGGAATCTATTGCTATAATCAAACCGAATAAGAATAAAATTATAAACCGGGGCGCCTGGGTGGCTCAGTCAGTTGAGCGTCCGACTTTGGCTCAGGTCATGAGCTCACGGTTTGCGGGTTCGAGGCCTGCATCAGGCTCTGTGTGGACAGCTCAGAGCCTGGAGCCTGTTTCGGATTCTGTGTCTCCCTCTCTCTCTGCCCCTCCCCCACTCATGTTTGATCTCTCTCTGTCAAAAACAAACATTAAAAAAATTTTTTTTTAAAAGAATAAAATCATAAGCCACTTAAAGTTCTTAAAATTGTATTCAAGGCCTACCATCCACTGTTCGATGTCACCCCATTTTGTGTCCAGCCCATAATATTTCTATGGACAGAAGGGAAAGAAAATTAGGCAAGAAGTGAAAACGGTAACCACACAAGAAACTGCTCTGACATGCATTTCCAAACCACTGCCCAAGCCACACGCTGAGGGTAACATGCTGGGGCAAAGCAGCAGAGACCAAGGTCGCGGCTCCGCAGGGGAGCGCTCCCGAGCGATCTGCACAGTGAGCCTGTGCAGAGAGACCCCTCGCCCTCCTCACCCCACCCCTCCCAGGGAAGCCAACAGGGCCAGGACGAGGCACTCTGGACCGGGAACTAAAACTCAGCCCAGCAGCCCTTGGGGAAGGCTGTTCGAGCCTGCGGAGCGAAAGAACTCATGCTGTTGCTACAGCAGAATGAGAAAAGCTTCCTCGGTGTGGGGGAGGAGGGAGAGAATGTGTGCTGACCCCTAGGCCTCCAGCTATCTGGTGTCCCCGCTAAATTTAGGCCCAGGAGAATTTATGTTCTTTGGATGTCTTTATAGCACGTCACCGACGCAAAGATGACTTAGCTAAGAGGGCTTGGTGCAGGAAAAAAAAAAAAAAATTTACATGAGCAGCTTATATGTTCGGCATTTTCTTTAGCCAATGTCTGCAGGGTTTAGCTTGCTTGTCTAAGCCACAGCGGGTCAAGTTAAAACTAGGAGAGCGGACTCAGAATGGCTGTTGCCATTACTAAATATAGTAATTCCAAAGATCGGTGGGAGCCCACGTACAGTCTCAGATAATGGGGTTCTGCCTTTCTCCTCAATTTTCCCTCCATTCCAACAGGAAAAGCGAGGAATACCTGACCAAACCCCCATACCACACAACACGTGGTTTTCCTCTTCATACGTGAAAACCTTATAATCAGAAAAAGGAAAAAAAAAAATCCATTGCTGAAAGTAGAAGACAAGTTTTGAAATTGTTTTCCAATTGCCGAAACACGCTGCTAAATTTGGCTTAGTTTCAGTGGATCTTGAGGGGTGGCCAGACTTTCAGTAGATGGCTCTGCGACCGTCTTGGCCCTTTCTCCTCAAGACGGCGGCGGTCTGGAAGAGGAAGACGCTGGAGGGAGAGCTGAAGCAGGCTTGAGCATTCCGCCCGGGGCAGAACCGCAATATCAAACCTACATGAGCCGGGTCTCTTCCTGTTAGTCACTTTCCTTACTTTGATGTTTCCAGCTCAGTTTCCCAGCCGAGCAAAGCGTCAGGCTATCGTGCGTTAACGCTCGCTCCACTCTCACTGCCAAATTCCGTGTTTCTCACACGTGAAATGAGATGCCACCAAACCTCGTCATCTCCTGGCTTAATTACAAGATGGAAAAAAATGTATTTTTTAAGAAAAGGGGGGGAGCCTACATCCGTTCACAAAAATTGTCTAAATTCCGAAAGAAGCTTGTATTATCCGTCTCCCTATTTTCTTCTGCCAGTTCTGTGCCTGTATCAGCAAAGGCACACCGTCTACTGCTGTCTTTTGCGATGATCATGGTGGCCTTATAAGTAGCTCTATGACTGTGGCTACGTTTCCATGTCCCTTCAGGGAGGGAGAACACCCCCAGAAAGAGCTAGGTGCCCCCAGCTAGCAGTTCTGATGTTAGTGAGCAGGCCAGCACAGCAGCGTGCAGAAAGCGTACAATGTTTCAAATGTAAACTACTATGATTAGCCAGTGAGTCATGCGCAGGAAGCAACAGCCAAACTTACAAAAGGGGCTTGACTTTCAGAAATAGCTTTGATTCAGGAGAAGAGAAACTGTCGCACAGAACAGCCAGATGGGCTGAGAGATGTTTACTGCCTCCTTTTCCTCTTCTCAAATGGTAATAAGGAAAGCTTTCCCTCCCTGGCACATATTTATTACAAAAATGTACATCCGCTTTTGGAGCGGGGACTTCCTGAACTCCTTTCTAGTTTACTCTGTGTACAAATTAACATTCTGACAAAGTTCTAACACCCTGTCCCTGGTGTTGCTGAGAAGATAAAAGTGATCTAGAACTAGAAAGGAATGAACCAGAGTGGAAATTAGCAGGTGGAGTCTCTTTCCTCGGTTCAGGGCGATTTGTTACAATGAGGGTTCCCCCTTGCCTTTTACTTGTTAAATTCCTACGGAGACTCTGTAGGTATGTTTGGATCTAGCTTCAACATCCATTGCAATTACTCACCTGCTTTCTTCCCACCAGGTAATAGTTATGCAGAGTGGGGATGGGGAGCAGGACACAAGGGCAGTCTGATATCATAGCAAAGGACCCCATGGGAGGACTTTTTAAATGGACTGTGTTTAAAAGGGCTTGTTCTAACCTTTGAAACAGTCATCTTACTTTGATTTTCTTACCTGCTCTAAAAGATAACCATTCTTCATCTATAGACTAAATACATTTATGAAAAGCAGCTATTATGGTTGTCGTAAGTAACAAACTAGGTACATTTACAGGAAAGGCTCCAGTATACACACTCTGGATTCCCACTCACTCCATCATCATCACTGCATCAGGAGCCCCTTACCTGGTTGTTTCCTACTGTACTCTCTGCACCTGGCCTGCTAGTGTATTTATCTCTAACCTTCAGCTGGTTCTATGAAGGGCTAGGGAACAGAGAGGCACGTTACTATCCTGAATGTTAGGGGTGGACGGCAGGTATATTTTAAGCTCTTGGATTTTACTGTTGTATCATTTTCTTTTTTGCTCCGATTTTTAAATCAATATTTAATACTCTTTTAGTGTACGGTAATCTGCATGGATATTTAAATTTTTTTCTAATAAAATTATATGGAAGGATAATCTCTCCTTAAACAGCTGATTTCAAAGGTTTCCCACATCCTGAAATGTGATTTTACTTTGCCTTAGAATTTTTTTTTTTCAAAGAAGTAATTTTCTAATTTGAGAAAAGCAGAGACGAGGAAAGCCTTCTGTGAACAGACGTGTGTCTAATGATGGCTTTTTAAGGGGGTATAAGTAGCGACTTTGGCATCTTGATCAAACCAATTCATCAACAAAGCAGTCAAAGAAGCAGTAACAACTTCTATTTCAATGAAGGGCATTATTTCTGAAAGGTGACCAGGCCCTTGGCAAGGAAAAAACTAGTACATGCAATTTAGAAAACAAAGAAGAAAGAGCCTACCTTTTGAACCTGATAGATCTACAGAGAAGGGCAAAAGAAACGGGAAAAGAAATAGGAAATCCAATTACAAAAGGAGAAACATCAGAAAGAAAGGTTCTGTAAGTACCTGGAAATGTGAATAAAAGTCATACTGGGGTGGGGGGGCTGAATACTGGTAAAATACGAATTGAAAAATGTTTGAAGTCTCATCGAAAGAAATCTTAATTTCCTGACTCATTTACATTGTTTTAGGTACAATGGGGAGACCCGGGCGCACACACGGATCCCTGCGAGAATCCGGTTATCATTCCAACGCACGAGTCTGCAGAACCCGTCACCATCAGTGGGGAAGAGCACTTCGTCTTCAATTCGAAATTTCTTTGCACAGCGATGAAAGTTTAACTAGAAAGCACAGAAACCGGATTATAAAGTCAACCGGTCAAATTCACAGATAGGAAGAAAGACGCTTTCCTGTCCTGATTCATGCAGACAGAAACAGAATGCCAGGAAAGTTACGGCTCAACCGAGCGATCACTAGAAGAGAACTGAAATACACATTTTAAAAAGCCTATTATGACGCATGGACATATTCATTTGCTCCGGGTGTTTCTCCTCAGGGTGTCCCAATCACTAGGTGAGGCGGAAATAATCTGCTTCATTCACTCGTTTGCTCACTCATTCATTCACAGAACAAAACATCGGCCAAGTCACGCTTTATTCAAGGCTTTATTCAAGGCTTTATTTGTGGGGGAGCACGGATGAACATACTCAACGTCATGACCACATGGAACACAGCACTCTCCATGAAAGTCACTAGCAAGAGAACATCACACCAGGGGGGGCACGTCTCACCATCTGTCTTCTCTTAGCGGGGGTCCTTATGTGAAATAGAAGGTTCCCTAGGAGTTCCCAAAGACTCCCCACATCTTATTCTCCCCTGATGAATCCATTAGAAAGGACCTCAGCATCCTTCTAAACAGCCCCCAGCACAGTGAACAGGGGCCACAGTCTCTCACCATCTGCAGGGCAAAGAACTGTGATGGGGGAGTGTAGGGGCTCTGCCATGGGGTGGGGGGGCTGGGCTGGCCTC